ACCTCAACCAATTAGTCAAAGTTTACATCAACAATAATGGAATGATTGATGATGTGTGTCGCCTATAAAGTGCACTGTAAAGCACACAACATCACTTCTGTAGTATTTTGGCTAAAGCTACATAATCTAAATATCATGATAAGGAACACTGAGCAAACCCAGATTGAGAGACATCTGCTAAATACCTCACTTTAATTCTTCAAAACTATTGCAGTGAAGAAAAAGAGCTCTGAGAAATTATTTCAAATTAAAGGCAACTAAAGAGACATTACAACCAACTACAGTGTGTAAACTTAGATTGGAAACTGACTTGAAAGAAATTATCTATATTGCATTAAGACCATTGATAAAATTAGTACATACACAGTAAGCTAGATAACAATGTTGTATTGATGTTAAATTTTCTGATTTTGATCTTACTGTAGTCACATAACAAGAACGTCCTTGGTTTTAAGAAATACATACTGAAGTATTTAGAGGTAAAAGAGCATAATGTCTACAAGTTACTTTCAAATGGTTCATAATGTATAAGTAGTTAATGAAAAAAACTGGGCAAAATGATAGCAATTGCTATCTGGATAGGGCACCAGAGTTCCTTGAATTATTCTTGAAACTTTTCTGTAAATTTGAAATCATATCAAAATTAAAAGCTACCTAAAAAGAGTCATGGACATACTCTATCTTGGATTAATACCTATCAGCTTATTCCCAAATTTCCAGTTTATCAGCTTCTCTAGGTTTGGTTTGGTTTTTATCCCACACTTTTGGATATAGCTTTCTGTTCAGCATCCTGAATTATCAAACCACTGTGAAATGACTTATTTTAGCTGACTTAGGTCTTTGTTCTAAATTTATCTCTCATTATTTACCCTTCAGTTCCAGGCACCAAAATCACATGTAAGTGACATACCAAATGATAACATTTGCTTCTAACCCTTAGAGTGCAACCTTTCCCCCATGGGACACGTCTCTTCTGCTTCCTATATTTTCTCACTTGTACAGTGCTCTGGATGCACCAGGTGCCTCATTCAGATCTCTTGGAATGATTTGAAATTGCTTCCTTCATAAATATGGAGAAATCTATGGTTATATTCTACAAGCCCATTCTTAAAATCAGAAAGAAACCTAAGCCAATGTCCACAAATCTTTTACGGGCTCAACCAACAAGGAGAAGTTAAGATTTTAAAAGGTTTAGAAATTATCATTCCTGTATTATCTACATGTTGTGTCGTTAAGTAAAACATCCAAGAATTTTTAAAACATAATTATAGGATTTAGGCAAACAACTATTTTTTGAACAGAAATTAGCATGTAGCTTTTCCAGGTCTGAGAAATGGGGATTTGTGAGCTCCCGACCTCCATCCCAGGCTCCTAGGGCAGTGAAGCTCAGCCGGTCCGAGCACCGGGAAGGAAGCTCCCCCACTGCGATTCCAAGCTCCTACGGCAGACAAGGTGAGCCGCGTGGGTGACACAAGCACCCCCCACCCCGTGGAAATGAGAAGACACATACGCAAGCCTCAAAAACAGACTTCCATGTCACCTACAGAAACCCCAAAGGGAAACGAGATGGAACACTCTGATACTCAACCACCTGGACTCTGAACAGGCAACAAAAAAGGATCTGAGAAAAATGAAATCAGAAATAATTACTCAGGTAACAGCAAAGATTACGCTCATAGTGCAGACATGATTAATAAATCTAGAGAGGACACAGATAAAAAAATAGAGGATCTGAGGAACATGATGGAATCCCAACATAGGAAACAAATGGAATC